TCAGAAAATGTTTTTTGTCCTGACATGTAATGCTTTACATTTTATTTTTTAATTTCAAATTGGTGAGGTTTATCAAAAAAATACAAGAGATAAAAAAGTTTCTAAACAAACCAAGCTATCCAAATTAAAGCATTTTGCATGTGTTTGATAAGATTTTTCTTTAAATTCGATAACAAATGACAAAGACAGTTATTACACTCGACTAAAAAGTATACCTGAGAATGTGTTTTCATAACTGTCATTCTTCCATAAAATTTCATTAGTCTATCTCTTTTCGTTTTCAAGATAAAAAATAAAAACATTATTTTTCCGCCATCTTTGTACCGCGATATCTCCCTAATGGTTGACTTTTGACCCAACGTTTATAAAGCAAACTACCCTTTATTTTGAACAAGGAATCACCCCCTAAAGTTTTTTGCATTTGTTTTGAAACACCCTGTATAGTATAATTTACTGTGTACATTTTATATTTTTTAATATCTAAACTACCGAATATCTATTTATACCTAACTAATAATATTAATATTTAAACTACATATTTACATTTTATTAACACAATTATAAATAATTTGTCATACATTATCATTAGCTACACCAGTTGTGTTATTATAATACTGTCCATTTATAACAATACATGAGCGTACTAATTTGAATGTATATACCATAGATTAACATCCGATGTTCATTGTCTACATTTGCAAACATTCTCATTACTAGTAGAGTTTATAGCTTGATTTAATTACTAAACCAATTAATTTTATTTTTTAAATTACCTCTTAATAGTCTACATAAAATTGAATGCAATTAAAACTAATAGTTAGTTTACTTTAAAATCACAGCCTATTAAGTACCAGCCATTTATATTTGCTTGTTTTGAGTATCTGTCATTAACTTGCCGCGTTTGTTACCCGTTCATATGCACCAGATTCGAGTTTTTATAGATGGAACTCTAATAAAGGTGAAGTTCCACTTAACAAATCATAAATCGGCAGGCTTGTTATGGATAAACTGTGACAGGTGAATAAAACAATTCTAATAAAGCAAAAGTTTGATAAAAATCAAGCAATCTTATAATAGTGCCGTAGTGCAGTGTAAATGCCGTAAACAATTTTTGAGATCAATTTAAAAGCTGTTATGGCTGGTGTATGGCGTTCTGTTATATTTATAATATCGATAAAAATGCATATTAAACTATTTATAGATATTTACGATACAAGTGAGTTAACAGCATCATTGAGGGCTTTAACTCACTGACGATCAGGTCACAACGACCTGGCCGTCGGCTCTCCGGATGTATTGCGTTTATAGCTGCGGCCAGATGAACGACCAGTTTCAACAGAGTTGTCAGATCTAACGTTTTTTTACATTTTACCAATTAGAAAATATTGTTTCAGAACGAATTAAGTTTCAGAAATGTTAAAATATCCGAGTTAACTGAAAAGCGAAGTTGCTATTCATGAGCTTATTAAATGTTCTAATATTAAATAATGCATTTAAAATATTCTTGGATTTTTCGTTAATAAATACTGGTGTGGTAAATGGAGTAAGTAAAATCTCCATCCCTGACTACACGATAACGTCGTTATTTCCATGTTTTTCAAATCCACGATGCCTGCTATTCCATCAGTCGTTTCATAACATAATAGAGTGAGACATGTAACTCGTGAGATTTTCAGCCATTATGTCAATAAACGACAAAAACAGTATTGTTCCTAAAGATGCGTCCAGACTTGAGCATTTTAGCCCGAACGAACCGAGCGCGCACGAACAAGCAGAACAAATAGGCCGAACAAAAAGCATTGTGTAGGCGCGACCGACAAAAAGGGAGATATTCTGTTTCATTTTTCTACTGATATGGACTTCTACTGATGGCTCTTATCGATTTTAGAAGTAAACATATTGGGGCCATCGTAAAAAAAGGTCGTCAGACACTGGCTCTAAATATTACCAGGTAGAAAGTTTAGCTTCCAGTTATTTCAATATTTACAATTTAAATTCCTCTTTTTTATTGTTACTGAGAATCTACAACAGTAAATACTTCTATTTTTATGAATGTTTAAGTTACTTTATTAATTTATTATTTTTTTTTAAATAATGTACCTAGTAGAAATATAGTCTAATGGACCCTGTTTGAAAAACGTTAAATTAAATATAATAATTAAAATACAGTTGTCCTCCTTGTACATGACTACAATACAACTAAAAAAATAATTTAATAAAAACAAGTGGTTGTAGAAAAACTTTAAATATGATTTTTTTTATTTTTTTAACATCGAAACTCGAAGGTATAATAACAGGTATCATACCAACCATAAATAGAGTATGTCATAAAAATGTTTTGAATTTTTACTAGAATCGACCCTTGATAAAAAAGGGACTAGATTTAAGTTTCCCTTTGATCCAGTCTATATACTATTTCTTTGGATTTTCTGCACGTGTGCAAAAACTACACTAAAACATTATATCTTATAGAAAATAAAATATTGTGCGTTGAATTTGATGGATTTCATCTGAAAAATTATTAATTTGGAAGAAAACCGGCAACAAGCGGCAGAAAATTATAATATTTTCTACCGCTACTACCGTTTACTGGTCGCAACGACCAACGGATGGCCAGGAGATACGTGTGTGAAAGTTGCACAACGAGTGAGTAGCACGAGTTGTATAACCACACAAGTATTTTAGTGGAGTTAACTCGCGTGTATTGTACAATATTTTATCTACATCTAACTATAAAAACGCACAATTAATTTTAATAATTATTGTACTTAACTATATACCTATCCTAAAAATCAACTATCTTAATACCTTTGTTCAAATAACACCATGCAGTGTCAATATGACAGTAAATAATATTGATATCACTAGTTTAAAAAATAAGCGATTCGGAAAGTTTTCCCTCTGACATTGAAGAAGAGGCATTCAGAGCCATGTCTGGATTGCTTCCAGCAAGATCGAAACAGAAGTATGAAAAATAGTGCACCGAAACATATTTTTCCAACATATTTTTCCAATTTGTTGCACAATAAATGTTTTACAAAATATTTTTTTCTCTTTGGTAGCCATCTAAACAAGAAGTGCAGTAATGAAAATGCGTGAGTTAAAAATCTCTTAACTCACTCAAAATGTGTGACTTAAGAGCTTCTTAACTCATTGACGTAAATAAAATAATATAAACAACTAAAATCATTTGAAACAACTTTTTAATTTCTTTATCATTTTTAGTTTTCTGTTCAAAAATAAAAGAAAGAATTGTAACTTTGCTAAGTTTACCCTAAGCAAATCTAAATTCGATTTAGAACTGAAATAAAAGCTTTTAATACTTCCGTATATATTTCTTGACCGAATTGTTATTGTGAAAGCTTGATTAATGGCCTGTGTTGTGATTCTTATCGTTGTAATAAAACTTTTAATAGAAAAACAGGATCACGAACAGTGTGTAAAACAAGCCAATGGTAAATTTCTATAAATTTTGTAGACTTAACAAAATAAAAATGTGCATTTAGTTTGCTTAGAACTACAAGTTTGATATATATATAAAAAATATATAGGTTATAACTGTACTATTTTTCAATGATGATTATTTTTTAATGCTTCTGACAACGGGAAGTTCAAGAAAGGTTTATCATAATTCTTAGTTTTATGATGCACATTTTATTAATAATTCAAAAATAATTTCCGCAATCTCAGTATTAGTAGTAAACAAAGGTAGTAAATTAAAAAAGATGCTTTGGTTAAATCATTTGAAAGGTAAACGGTAATTAGGAAAATATATAAAAGATAGGTAATAGATAAGGTAGATAAAATAGTACTTTAACCAAGGGTAAATTAAATGATTCTTTAACAGCGAGGACAGGTTAAAAACTTTATTTCTTCTCGCACGTTTTTTAATTGCTTCCATTTTTGAAAATTTTTGTATTTCTTTTCATAAGTTACTCGGGATTTAAATGGAAGTAGTTTGGACATGGCGTTTGTTGCCTCAGCCTGAATATCTGTTGGTAATTTACTTATTTTGTTTTGAGCCATTTCTGGCTGCAGTTCAATCAGCAATCGACACGAAAGAGAATTAAAAAATATTGACTCAAACCTGACAACTAAAGAGACAGCTTTATTTATTTGTCAAATTACATAGAAATCAACGCCAACCCAGCACAATATTTTTTTTACTTGTAATAAATTCCTTGAAATAATAATTGCTGAATATTTTTTAAAACGTAACTCGCTATGGAAAAAAAATGTTGTTTTATACACGACGATAAAATTAATTCACTCGCGATTTCATAGTTCTTGAATTAATCTTTTCGGTCGATGATAAAATACCACTTTATCGTCTTGTATAAAAAATAATTATTAACTCACTCAACTATTATTGTTTAAGCCTCGATATTGTTGACACCATTTATTTTTTAACCCATTATAGGGCTTAAGTTGAAAGCCAGCCTACTTACTTTGATGCTAAAAAGCTTTCCAACTCCACTTTGATGAAACAGTCAATACTATACAAACAGCGTACAAGTGAGACGCGCGCAGCACTAATATGAGTACAATATCTCGTACAACATGATCGAAAAAAAAACGGCGTCAGCAATGACTTTTAAATAAAGATCGCTGTCATTTTATATGTAAAATTATATGGGGAATACCATCGATCGACATTTCCAAGTCAACTGAATTCCGTCTTTTTTTTTCGATCATACGCATACGGTACAATTATATGATGAGATGTACGAAAACAGGATGATGTGGAAATTAATATTTTATAAAATTTAATGTACTGGAACAATTTTGTCAAATTTAATGATAAATTAAAAAATAAGTACTGATTTAAAGAAGGCGTCCGTTTTTCTCAAACAGACCTGATTTGTAAATTAAAAAGGAAGAAGAAAAAAAAAGTAAAAAAAAAGATAAAAAGAAAGAAAAAAAAAAAGAAAAAAGAAAGAAAAAAAAAGAGAAGAAAGAGATAAAAGGAAAAATCTTTTTTAATTTAAATAAGTACTGACCTGTTATTTTAAAGCCCTGGTTGATGGCTTGCGTGGTTCTTATCGCCGCCTTGTATATCCTCCAGTAGAAGAACAGCATGACGAACATGGGTATGTAGAAGGAGCCGAGTGCCGAATAAACCACGTAGCCGGATTCGTTGATGAGTTCGCATTTCCAGGGACAGTGCGTGGGCGTGTCCTCGGGCAGGGTCACGTTCGATTGGCCATCTTCCGACTAGAAACAAAAGTCATTTTCTTTAGAAGTTACCAATTGGAGAGAAATTGCTTAGAAGTTACACCAGAAATTTTTATTTTACTTGAATTGGTCAAAATAAGTAAAATAAAAATGCATTCTTTATAAAAAAATTTGCTTCTAAAATGGTTAGTCCCGTTTATACTTTTCCAAATTTCCACACCGTTTTAGAGAAAATTAAAAAAAAAACATGAAAATATTAAAAAACGTCTACGTAAATGTCGACATCTGTGGCGAATTCATGTCTCCAAAAAGTCTTATGTGTATTTCGCCACTGTAACGAAATTTAGAGAATAAAATGGTTATTTTTTGTAAATACGTTTTGGAAAGTATATCTCTTTCCGTCGTCAGAAGCAAAAAAAAATAAAAAGAACAAAGAAAAAAACTATTTAAAATATCTAAATGCAACTATTCGAGAACACTTTAGTTTTTTTTAAACAGATACGTCTATAAAAAACGTTGACGATCTGTTAAAATGACATTATATCAAGTCAAAATTTAAAATTAACAATTACTACCTGATAACAATTACTTAATAAGGAAAAACCAAAAAGATTCAAACTTTCTGTATGATTATTTTTCATTTCTTTTTAATTTTTACGTATGTTATGTTCTTTAAAATCAAAGAAGTGATTACCATACATTACTAACATCTACAGGTGCATGAGCAATACATTTATTTTTATTAGATTGTATTAAAAAAGTCTCTTTTATTTTTATCTTTGAGGCTATCGCTTCTTTCATTATAATTTTTGCATTGTTAAAATCTAATTCATTTTTCTCAAAATGTAAAAAAAGTTTTTCCTCTTGTAAAGACAATCTGGCGACATACTGTAGATTGTTTGGTAAAGCGATAAAAAAAACTGTAAAATTATTTATTAGCATTGCCACAAAATAAATCAATTTCGGTTTTACGGCTAGGTTATGAACTAAATTGATACGGCACTCTGCCATTTTAAAATTTAATTTTGCTTTGAAAAGGCGGACGCTCTCACAGGGGTAATTAACCTTCTATGCTGCTCGAAACTGAATTGTTTTTTTTTTGTTTAAAAATTTAACAGTTGTTCTTTCAGTAAAAAGCACTCTGAATCCGCTTTTTAACTGTATGCAGTTCAGAGTAGTGATGGGCAAAACTGTTATTTTTAGATAACAGTTGAAACTGTTATAGTTATTTATAAAAAACAGCTTAAAATAACAGCTTAAAAATAACATGTTTCTTTATTTTACTGCTAAATATCTGAAAGAGTATGAGACGCTCACCGCCAGGCGTATTAAGGCAGTTGCAAGTTGCAACAATGACGGGCTCGGTGGTAGTATTTCCAGGGTGTCAAAACATTTCTAAATATCGATTGCTATCTAAAATACCTCTCTAAAAACGGTGGTTATTTACAAATAAGCGCTGTTTACAAATTGCGATATAAAAAAAGCCAAAATTCCGCCACTCGTCTATACCTACACATTGCGATCTACCTACGCCCTGCCCCTCGATCCGCATAGATCCTGAATTGCGTAGCAGTATACAGGATGCATCTCACTCGACGGGCGAGAAGCTCTTAGTTATGATTTTACCATTTGCGGTCAAAAAATAGCAATATAAGAAAATGTGTAGTATATTCTTCATAAGTAAACCAACTACATACTAGAGTTCGAATTAATTTTACACTTAAACTAGCGTGTACCCGCGACTTCGTTCGCGTCAAAATTAATAATTTCTAATGGTGATGATAAAGCAAAACAAGAATTTCCATTGACATACAAACTGGACAAAATTTCCTCACATTTGCCAAAAATAAGCTTTCTAACGTCGAGCAGTTTAAGCAGAATCGTGGTTAATCAATTAGTCAACTTTTTGGAACACCCTGTATGATTTTTTAAAAAATTTCAAAATATGTAAAAAAAACAAAATAAATTATGCGTGTCCAGGCGTTTTCCCGAAAGACTAACCGTTTTTTAAATAACAAATTTTGTAATATTTGAGGGGCGTTTTCACCCTGTTGGAATTTGAGATTCGAGAAACCCCTCCTTATCGAACCTCAACCCCACAGTCAGTCCGTTTGCAAAAAATCAGCTTTAAACGTCCAGCAGTTTAAGCAGAATAGTGATTACTCAATGGTCATATTTTATGAAACACCCTGTATATATTTTTAAAAAATCTTAAAATATGTAAAACAACAAAATAAAAGATACGTGCTTAAGAGTTTTTCCGAAAAACTCACCGGTTTTTAAATAAAAAATATTTTAATATATGAGGGATAGTTTCACCCTCTTAGAATTCGAGTTTCGAAAAATCCCTTCTTATCGAACCTCTACACCCTAAAATCAATCTGTTTTCCATAAATCAGCATTTTACGTCAAGCGCTTTAAGCAGGATCGTGATTAATCAATGACCAGATTTTTCAAAACACCCTGTATACATTTTTAAAAAATCTTAAAATATTATTCTGAAAATTTTTCAGAATAAATAAATACCTAAATATTGAAACTTAATAAGTAAGTACTGAAACATACAGCGCCATAATATCTCGACCTCCGTCCGTTATGCTCGTAACAGGTTGAAACAGAATATATCTAAAACAACTGATGGCGTTATTCCCCAACCTGTTTCGAACCTCCATCGACAATCGACCGATGCAGCAGCGTTCCTTTCCAACACCGATTATCTCGATCGCCGCCCTGTTATGCTCGTAACAGGTTGAAAAACAACATATCTGAAATGACTGTGTCTCCAACCCGTTGCGAGCCTCCATCGACAATCGACCGATGCAGCAGCGCTCCTTTCCCACTCCTGTTATCTCCACCGCCAGGCGTTATGCCCGCAACTGTTTCAAAAAACCTGCTTCTTTTATATCCTATTATTTTTAAGCTGTTGTAAATACGACCATTGACGGTATCGACCGAAGCAGCTACGTTCGCCGCAGCGCATTTCCCACTCCGTTGTCCGTTGTCTCGCCGTCTGTATCGATGGTTGACGAAATAACATGTTTTCAATCCATACTAGTTGTTTTTTGGAATTGCTTCGAGCAGCATAGAATTTCGTGGTGATGCAGAGCGCCGACTTCGTTTTTCGTTTCACGAGCGGCCAATCTCTACGTGTCGTTATTTTATATCTGTTATTTTTTAGAAGTAGTAACGGTTGCGTTATGTTATTTATAAGTAATTGTTATAAAATAACAGATAGTTAAATAACAACCCATCACTAGTTCAGAGTATAGTTCGTATTTTGTTGGGTTTTTCTTGGAATATATCACCTTATTCCCGTTTTTTGATTTGTTTTGAAGGTTTTGATTAATATTTAATTACTGGTTTGGATCAGCATCTGGTTTGAATATATTTTGGTTTATGTAAAGTTGTATTTCAGACCAGTAATTGTACGGACATACGTAACCTTATGTAGGTCAAGATAACTGGAAATAAACCAAAATGCGACAAAGTTGGGTGACGAAACGCGACCTTCACCTGCTTCGAAGAGTTCTCTGCGTAGTGTAGAGACTGTTTTATATTTATTAGAGTCACAATATCAATCTCTATACTTTTTATAGAGTCACAAAAAAATGAAAATAATGTCACAATTTTTTTTAACAACTTTTTTTGAGGCTTAAATTTAGGACACCTTGTACAGGGTGGGTCAAATTCGACGCTTTTAAATGGAAACACCCTTTTCTATAGGAGATAGACAAAAACTAATATCGGTCTCTTGAGCTCAATTTTTGTCAAAAACATGATGGTGAAAACCGCATATCGATATCTGTTACCGTTTCGGAGTTACGGGGTGTTTTTCAAAAATATGCATTTTTAACAAATCGCTGTAACTTTTTTACTATGGAAAATTTTGTTTTTTTATGAAAACATTTCCAAAGCACATTTTTACGTAGAATTTAATGGTTTAAGTATAATTTTTTAAAATTAATAATTTAGGAATTATCAACAGAAAATTTGATTTTTTATATGGGACACCCTGTATATTTTTAATTTATTGAAAAAGAATCTAAAATTACCTTCCAAAAATATAACACACCTGATATTTTGCTCGATTCCTCTTCGAGATATAGAGTAAATAAAAATTCGCCGGCATTAAATAAGTAGGCTATGAAAGGCACCGGCTGTAATGCAAAAAATTCTAGCTGTGAGCATCAATTAAACGAAAATAATATTTGCTATGAGAGATGCAGAATTTTATAACAATTTAAAATATATTTAAAAAACATCAACACGTTTAAACTATATCTAATAACAATAAAAATAAATAGCAAACCAAGACATGAGATTTTGCTACAGGTGTTCGACATATCAACCGTCTTCTGTTATGGACAGACGGGGCAGTTTTTAAACATTTCTCGCCGAATTCATTAACTCAGTGGGGGTGAAAGAAACCCTCTCATAACTGCTAAGTATTTTTAATTCTTGTCTAGATTATACGGAAGAATAAGGAACCTTTATTCTTCCGCAAATATATCCATAAGATTAGATCCATGGGCACTAAGTCAGGCGGCCGCGACGGTCAACGGCTGGGATCTTGGTTAACTATTCAATTATTCTTGAAATTGGCTGCAAAAATTTGCTGATAACTTCAGCGTTCAGAGGCGGTGCGTCGTCTTGCTGGAAAAATATGTTTTCCAGTTCCATTAAGGGCATATCATCAATAAGGGGTCCAAAGCCTACTAGTTAAAAGTGACGAACTTTTAAAAATTCTGTATTTCGAAGGGCATTATAACAAAGTATCAAGTGTGCTATATTTTTGGAAAGGTAATTTTAAATTCTTTTTAGTTTATTAAAAATATAGTGGGTGTCCCAAATAAAAAATCAATTTTTCTGTTGATAACTCTTAAATTATTAATTTTAAAAAAATTATACTTAAACCATTAAATTCTACGTAAAAAGGTGCTTTGGAAATGTTTTTACAAAAATACAAAATTTTTAATAGCAAAACAGTTACAGCGATTTTTTAAAAATGCATATTTTCGGAAAACACCCCGTAACTCAGA